GGCTGCAGGGCCGCCCAGCCCGTCAGCCCCACTGCTGCCCTCCGGGGACACTCTCCCCAGTGCTCAGAGGCAGCCAGCAGCTGGAGCCCCACACCCTCAGGGAGGGGGCTTCCGGAAGCTGCTGTCCGGAGTCCCCCTGGCCAGGAAGGGTCCTGGCAGAGGAGGCAGAAGAGGACAGAGCAGCCTTGTCCCAGCGCGGCGGGACACCACCCACCACTACCCCCTTCCCTGGCTCACAGAAGAGGATGTCCATCCTTGGGCTGGCGGCCTGTGGCGCCTTTCCAGACGCCAGGCCAAGCCCTGCCCCTGTGGCCGATGGGGCTCCCAGAGGGTGGCTGGGCTGGGACTCGGGATGGTGCCTGGGGCTCAGTGGGGCATTGGCCCTTGGAACACCCCACCTGAGATCCTGGGGCCCTCCCTTCCCCTCCCTGCCCACCTCCTCTCTGTCCTCTGGGTGTGCACCCTTCGGGGTACAGGCCAGTGAGAAACCCCCTGCAGTACCCACATCTGGTGCAATGGCCCATGGAGTGAGGGCCTGTTCAGTAAAGATCACGGGGACCACCGGCACTGAAAGGGCCCACCCCCACGTCCGGGGGCCCCTCCCTGGGCCTTGCTCTCGGCTGGCCTAGGAGCCTCCTCAGAGCCCTGGAGGAGGGCAGGTGCCCAAGGAGCAAACTCGGGCAGCATGGGTCGTGGGCTCCCCCCACGTTTATTAGTCTTTCTGCTTTGGGGGGCTGTCTTGTGCCCGTGGGCACAGCCCGCTGACCTGTGTGGGGACGTCGGCCCACGAAGGAGGTCACTATGCTGCAGCCACTCCTGGAGGTCAGGAGCCCGGCTGCGACCGTCCTCCCCCCACAGCCACAGACCCAGGGCCTTCCTCCTCCCCAACACCCCCACCCCAGTGTGACACGGACGCTTTCCCTGGGCCCAGGCCCAGCCCCACTAGAGAGAGAGTCCTTGGCCAGGAGAGAAGAGGGGGCAGTGCCGGTCCTTCAGTGTCCAACAGCCCCCAGTGCCACCAGGGACGGGAGCGATACACTGGGGGGCCGCCCCCACCCTGGGCATCCACAGGTCCTGCCCGTCTCCCCTGACCCTGCACTTGCCCGTGGGACAGCACCCTGTCTGTGCCCCTGCCCTGAACACCATGAGCTCCTGAGGCAGGCCTGACCAATCACACAGGTCTGAGACCCCCTCCCCCACCACGAAGCTGTCTACCTGCTGCAAAGTTTCTGTTGTGGGGACAGAACTGCCACCTCAGACCTTGCACCTTGACCACACATCAGCATGGTGCCCGGGCCCAGCCAGCGCCTTCCCCACAGACCACACGCCCAGCCCTACCTGAGGGGCCCAACTGTGCCCTCCCTGGACCCACCTTGGGCCTCGTAGCCAGCCAGGTCAGGCTTCTCCGCGGCCGCCGGGCTGGTCAGCCGGCTCAGAACCAGCTGCAGCTGTGCCACGTTCATGCGGGCCGTGAGCTCACCGGTGCGGTCCCCAATCTGCATCAGGTGGCAGGGCGGGGGTGAGCGGCTGGCAGGACGAGGTCCTGTGGGGGCTCCCGGGGGACAGACACCTGAACCCACCAGCCGCATCTGGCACAGGGCATCAGCCTCACTCCGCCGCCAGTGGTGGAGTGCAGGGCACTGTCCCCCAGTGGGGGACCCCCTCTCAGATCCCAGAGATGCTGTGGCCTGTGACTCGGGGCCCAGCTGCCACACCTCCCTCAGCCCAGGCCCTGGTCTCTGTCCCTCGCCCCTGCTCTGCACTCTGGGAGGCCCCTGTCCGGTGAGTACATCTCCCAAACAAGCCCGTTAGCCTAAGGCACCAGAGGTTCTGGTTCCAGCAGCTGGGCCAGTGGGCCCTCCTCCAGAGAGCACTCCTGGCCTCTTGCCCAGAGCCCAGGAGCCCATCTCCCCTGAGCACCTGTAGTCTTCCCGACCAGGTGCCCCCCCACAGGGCTGAGGGGATGGGGTCATTTTAGCACCGACAGGCCAAGGGTAGACGTGACTCTGCACAGGCATCGGGGTGACAGGAGGGTGGGCAGGCCATAGAGCCCGAGTCTACTGAGGAGGGAGAATGTGTCCGACTGTCCTGAATGCCAGGGGCCGGACTGTTCTCCAGCTGGGGTGTCAGACACGGGCATCCCTGCAGCCCAGTGCCACCCTGAACCTTGTCAGCTTCCACTGGGTAGGGGCGGGAGAATCAGGCCTGAAGTCAGCCTGAGTGCACGTGGGCCGGGGAAAGGACACGCCCACCCCACGGCCGGTGGGGGGGAAGGACACGCCCACCCCACGAGCAGGGAGAGCAGCGGCACCCCCACCCCACGGGCTGGGAGAGAGTGGCACCCCTCCCCCCGGCCCCAGCAGCAGGGCAGCCGCAAGGCCCCATAGAGCACACCCTGCCAGCCCAGGAAGGGCAGCAGAGGTGAGTCCAAGGGGATCACGTTGGGCAGAGGGCCCAGACAGGCTGCAGGGCGGCCTGGGGCGGACAAGGACGGGCCCCGCAGCACCTCACCTCCTGGGAGATCTCCAGGTGTTTCTTGGCAAAGGTCAGGGCCTGTGCGGGGCTCCCCATGGACACGTAGGCGTTCCCCAGACTCCAGCAAGCCCGGCCCTCACCCACTCTGCAGGACAGGGAAACCCCACAGCCCTCAGTAACCCAAGCACCAAGCCTGCCGGTGGCCAGGGGCCCCGGGGACCGGCCCTCACCCACTCTGCAGGACAGGAAACCCCACAGCCCTCAGTAACCCAGGCACCAAGCCTGCCGGTGGCCAGGGGCCCCGGGGACCGTGGGAGGGCCAGAGATGACAGGGCACCACATCTGCGGCCCCAGGAAGGCTGCGTGGTTCCACTGGCCACAAGGGGCCGCCAGCCCGAGGGGCACAGGCAGGACGACGCGTCCAGGGCTGCAGAGGCCATACTGTGAAGCAGCACCGAAGCCGGGGCCGCCACAGACCCGCGTGCCCTGGGGCGGGCTCATTCTCATGGTAACGGCCCACCCAGAAACACTGCCCTGCCTGAGACCAAGGGGCAGCCAGGGCCTGGCCACCTGCTGGCAGCCTCACTCGCCCCGCAGTGGCTGGCACAGCACTTAGCCCTTCACTCACCCCACTGTCTCCCTAAGTTCTCTGGTAGGGCAGCCTTTTGAAAGACTGCCTCTGTCCACGCCCTGTGGCAGGCCTGCAGACCTAAGGCTTTGAACCCCTTTTTCTGATCACTGCCCAGGCGAGTAAGAACCAAGCCTGTGAGTAACTGTGTTCAGTAACCTTATCCCCCGAAGGTCGATGTTTAAACACACGTGTGGGGACAGAAGTCTCTCAGAAGGACCTCAGGCTGGCAGCCTCACCAGCTCACGCTGGTCCCTCAACCCACAGCTGTCAGCAGGACAGGCAGGGCCTGAGGGCCTGGGTCAGGGCCCTGGGGTGAGCCGGCATGGTGGCAGGGCTCTGGCCCAGGGCTGGGGGCTGAGCGAGGTGGGCACGCGCACCTGTCGGCCAGCTCCTGGGCAATGAGCAGGTGGCGCAGGTGGTACTCAGCGGCTCGCTCGTGGTCCTGCAGCAGCGTGTAGGTGTTGCCCAGGCTGTAGCAGGCCTGGGCCTCCACTGCCGGGTCTCGGAGCTGCCGGGACACCTGGAGCGTCTTCCTGCAGAGGGGGCGGCGGTCAGCCCCTGCCACGAAGGGCGGGCCAGGGTCCCCCAACCTCGGCAGCCCAGGGCCAGGGGACACCACCGCTCAAGACCTTCCAGTCCAGCGGCAGAAGGTGGGCACTGGGGGAAGCCCGCTGGTGGCTGGCAGTGGCTGATGCTGGGACCAGGCAGACGTGGCCCCCTCGGACTGTGCCCGTACAGGTAGTTCTAACGGCCCTGAGCCTGCACTGCCAGGGGGACACCCACCTTGTCCCCCTGCTCCTGGACCCAGGGCAGCACCCACCTCCAGCGGCCTGGAAGGTGTGTTTCAGAAGGCAGCCTCCCAGGAAGCAGGCCAGCCCCGGGCCCTGGCACCGTCCCAGTGCCCTCCAGCCCACATGCTCCTAGGAGTACCACCATGCCTCAGTTTCCCCCGTTGAGGGAGGTGCTTAGAGGTGCACCCCAGAGCTGCACAAGGAGCAGGATGTGGAAAAACCGAGAGCCCTTGGCCCCGGGCTCTGTCTGGCTGTGGTGGTCTCCAGCCCTGACATGCCACAAGGGTGGGCCTGTGGGCCTGTCACTGGTGCACTCCCAGCAGGCACACGGCCCTGTCCTCAGGCCCACCCCCTGGGATGGTGGGGTGGGGTGCAGGCTACCTACTTGTAGTACTCAGCTGCGACGTCGAAGCGCCCCAGGAAGATGTGGGCGTTGCCCAGGTTGCTGTAGGCCCGCCTCTCAGCCGCCTTGTCACCAAACTCCTTGGCAATGGCAAGACGCTGAAGAAACAGAGACCTGAGCCCTGATGGAGGCTGCCTCCATGAGGGTCCCGCCTGGCTGAGCTTCCCACCACAACCAGGTTGGCAGCTTGGCGTCTGTGTCCAGAGGGGACCCCAGGTCCAAGCACAGACCAGCAAGGGGCCACTGGGGTGCCCCTGCTGCCAACGTGGGCCATCAGCCAGAGGGCACCTGTGTGAAGCCCCCTGCCTGCCCGCCCAGTGGCCACTCACCTCCTTGTGGAAAGCAGCAGCCTCCGGGAAGTCCCCCAGCAGATAATGGGTGTTGCCCAGGTTGCCATAGGCCCTGCCCTGGGCCGCCCGGTCCCCTAGCTCCTTCACCAGGGACAAGTTCCTCCTGAAGGCAGGTGTGTGTGAGTGGGTCCTCAGGTCAGGGAAACAGGGCACCCCACAGGCTGCCCGCTCACATGACCCAACGTGAGGCGTGGTGGGCAGGGCTGGCATCTGTCCACACCCGGCACCCAGTGTGTCCCACCCACGGCTGCACCGACCAGGCCCACCCACTGCCCTGGCCCTTTCCAGCCAAGCACACGTTCGGAAAGGTCCTTTGTTTTGCTGTGAGTGACGGAGAGACAGGAGCTGCCAGGGACCTGCTGGGGTGTCCCCACCCCCATCCAGGGTGCCCCAGCCAATCACTCACTCGTAGAAGTCAGAGGCCTTGCGCAGTGTCTCCCGCACGTCGGGCGGCAGGTGCCCAGGGTCCTGAGTGGTGCTCCAGGACAGGTGCTTGCCCTTGGCGTGGTACACGTTGCCGATGTTGTAGAGAGCACGTGCCTCCCCGACCTGCAGCAGGTGGTGCTGAGTGAGGGCGCCCAGTCCCGGAAGGAGCCCCTGCTTGGGGGCTGTAGTAGATGGCAGAAAGCAGCCCCCGTGTGTGTTCAGGGTCCCTGCAGGTCGCCTGGCTGCTGTCCCCACGGCCCTGGGGCCCCCGTGGTAAGCAGGGCAGGAGGCCATTCCTTGGGAGTCTCCGTGATTCCGACCTGGGGGCTTGCTTGGGGGAGGCCACTCCGGCCACCTCTCCTCTGTGTCCTGTCTGCTGGAGGGCAGCCTGGCCCTCCTCTGTCCTCAGACACCCACAGCTAAGTAACCACCCAGGGCCAGGCACTGGGGCCCCGCCCGACCATGTCTGGCCCTGTGACTTCTGAAGTCACCACTCTGTGCCTCAGTTTCTCCATTTGTAAAAGCAGGATGCTCATCTCGTGTGTGTGTGGGGGGGGGTAGGCCGGCCCGGCGCTAGGGGTGTGGCTGCCGTCCTGGCTAGCGTCCCTCTGCCCCGAGCCCATGGACCCTCCCAGGCCTCTCTCCTCCTCGCTCCAGGGCCCAGGAGGGATGACCAGGGAGGCAGCCTTAGCCCTGTGGCTTTGGGCGTGTGACTACGTGCCCACTCCCAGGTGGCCCTGTCCCCATCTGAGTCACCTGAGGTCAGAAGGGCTGTCCTACCCGCTCCCTCTCCCATGGGGCTCAGGGTGGGAGGGGACACCCACCTTGTCCCCCTGCTCCTGGGCAATGTCCAGGTGCCGCTGGCAGCAGACGATGGCCTCATCGAAGCGGCCCAGGACCTTGAGGGTGTTGCCCAGGTTCCCGCTGGCCTTGGCCTCCCCCATGCGGTCGCCAATGGTCCTGCAGACAGGGGGCAGCTGAGGAACTGGGCCCCGAGCCCAGTGCGGCCTGGGGTGAGTGTGGGCCGGGGCAGCGGCTGGGGCCCATCAGGGCCTGTACCCACTGGGGTGATGCTGGGCAGGGCCCATGGACAGTTCAGGCCCCTCCACAACCCAGTCCTCTGCTGCCCCTCCTCCATCGCCCCTGCACTGTCTGCAGGGTGCTGTGGGCTCCACATGGGACCTCAGGACCTGGCCAGGCCTGGGGCTACTGGGGCTGGCGGTCCCGGAGTGCAGTGTGGGCTAACTTTGCAACAATCTGTCCAATGACCACACATGGAAACCCAGGGGCCTGTGGGAGCCCAGAGGGTACAGCTCCCTGGGGGTCAGGGCTGGCTGTGGGCAGAAACCTGCAGGCTGAGGCCTGAGGGGGGTCAAAGCTGGGCAGAGCACAGCCTAGGCCAGGGGGAGGGGCACATGCAGGAAGAAGGCGTGGAGCTTGGAGGTGGGCTTCGTGGGGAACAGGGAGAGCCCTCCAGGGCAGCAGACATCGCAGGCAGCTGGGGGAGCCAGCCCAGAGCCCCAGGAAGAAGTGTGGTTCCCTGAATGGTTCTCACTCTCACGTCACACCGATACACGGTCAGAGACCAGCACGTTCCCGCACACGGAGAGACACACGTGTGCACACACAGATGCAGAGTCACAGCACACTCATACAGAGACACACACATGTTCACAAAGACATGCAGAGTCATGTTCACACACGGAGCACACGTATGCGGCCACAAACATGCAGAGTCAGGGACTGTCATTCTAGCACGCGAATGTATGGCAGTGCATGTGTGTATTCACAGCAACACAGGACACTCGGTCACACCCATATGCTCACATAGACGTGGAACACTCGGTCCCATGCACACATGCAGACACACGGACAAGGAGCCATGTGCTCGCAAAGACGAAACACTCGTCACACCCTCACGTCCACCCTGGACGCCAGCACACACTCGCTGTCCCAGCATCTGCCCGCCTCCTCGGGGCCCCCCGACACCGTGTCACCCTGACGCCGTGCCCGAGTCCCCCCGCTCACCTGGCCAGCAGCAGGTCATGCTTGTGGTAGGCCAGCGCCCGTGGGTACTCCTTTACGTAGAAGTATGCGTTGCCCAGCTGGCTGTAGATGGCGCTCAACGTCTTCAGGTCCTCAGTGCCCACCTGCACGGCCGCCTCGAAGAAGGCCGCGCCAGCCTTGAAGTCCCCAGCCTTGCACAGCCGCTCTCCCTCCAGGGCCAGCTCCAGGCAGGAGGCCTCCATCCTGGACGCGGGGGACAATGCTGGCAAGCTCCCCCCATGAGACCCGTGACACCCCCACCTGCCTGACGGCTTCCCTGCCCCCTGCCGGGCACTGGGCTGGCTGACGTCACACCTCTGCTCTCTCCGCATAAATGGCCGGAGGCAGGGTGGCCGAGTCCAGTGGCCTGCCCCCTCTCCAGGTGGCACCTCCATGCCTGAGCTCACTGCCTGAGCTCGCCACTGTCACCCAGAGCTTCAGAGGTGACGGTCACACACAAGACCTTTAGTGTGCGCCAGCGGCTGCTTGGCTCTGGCTGTGCCCAGAGCAGAGCTGGCCTCCACGTCTGTCTTCCCCCAAATAATCACAGTCATGTAGCTGAAGGGGGTGGTCTGGGCCCTGAGCACACACCGTCCACCCCAGGAACCAGGCCCTAGGTTCCCAGAAGACAATGAGGCTGGAGAGGGCCCGTGAGGGGTCAGAGCTGCACAGGGGGCCCTGGGTTCCACCCGCTAGAGGTCTCAGCAGGACGGGTCAGCTGTCACCGCACCTTCCTCTCTCTGCCTCCAGGGGGACCCCCGGCAGGAGCATGGCCCACCTGGGCAGAGGCCCACCCAGCCCACTGCCTTCCCACCGGGGCCTCCACTGAGAAATGCTGTCTGGGGGCCGGCAAGGCCTGCCCTGAGACACACACGTTCCCGCCACTCTGCTGTGGAGAGGAGGTATGTACCGCCATGTCCCAGGATGAACTCGGTCCCAGAGTCTAGCTCCTGCCCCACGAAAGGCCTGGGCATGGGAGGCAGTGCTTCCAGCAGGAGCTCCTAGGAGAAGCCCCGCACACTCGCCTCACACAGCCCCTGGGGTCCTGCTCCGGGGGACCGTACAGCTCTGGGCCTCGGGCGAACTTCTCCCAGGAGACGAGCCAGAGTGCACGAGCTGGCGGCCACTCAGCCAGCTGGCCCTGGCCCTGCCCTCAGTCATGCTCCACTGGCCACGAGGTCCCAGGTCAGCGGCCTGGGGTGGGGGACACACACAGGGCTGTTACCAGAACACAGCAAACCATGTCGCGGGGCCGCTGGACTAAGCAGGCCGGCCCCGACCCCCTGGGTGTGCCCCCAAAGACAGGAGGGCCCGTGAGGGCGCCCAGCCCTCTGCCTGGGTCATCGCAGTGGGCAGACGGCACAGTCACTCCATCACTACTGCTTCTGATACCTTGGCAGCGTGTCAAACCCACCAGCACCCGCCTCTGACCCAAGGCGCTCCGCACGGGGTGAGCAGAACTGCCCGTGGGCTCCAACAGCTGGTTTTTCATGAGATTTCTGTATCTTTCTTCTCAGGCCGGTGCGTGGACTTGAAGCCCCAACCTTCTGGTAAGCAGTTCAGTACACCACTCGCACTGCCCAGGGTCCCGTCAAACCCGCCACTTAAAACATCCACACGGCAGGCACTGTCCCCATCTCTGCATTGTTGGACTTATGCAGTGACCGTGAACACTGGAGAGACCAGCAGGTTCCTTACAGAGGTATGTGGAGGGCGGTGCTGGTGCTCCCGGCCCGACGCACCAAGCACTCGTCACTCTGCGTCCGTGTTCAAGAACTCATGCCTGCCTCACGCTTTCCCGACACAAGGAAGCTGGCCCGGGGCCCCCACGGCTCCAAGGCCGTCTGCCGGGGAGGACCCCCCTTCTCCACACCCACTCCCCCAGCCCCGCCCCGACACGAACCCTGCCAGCAGCTGGGAATGACGACCACAGCGCTGAACCCGTGCCCTCCAGCCTTGCTCTCTGCTGGCGGTGCCCCGACACACCTCGGGGTACCCGGCTTTCTGCACCACCCGCCCGACCACTCCCTTCTTAGACCCGTGGCCTCACCCTCAGGCTCTCCACGCTCAGGATGGGGTGGGCAGGGTCGGAAGGAGGAGCCTGGATCTAAGTGGGCCTCAAGCTTGGGGCCCCCATCAGTCAGGCTCTGGGGTGGGCCCAGTGGCCTGTGGCTGGAACTGCCCTGCATTGCCCAACCCAGGCCAACTCCCTGAGCGGCCAAATGGTCACGGGGTGGTGCCAGCTTGGAGCCCACATCCACTGCCTCCAAGGCCGTGTGCAGGACTCCCACCCCATCTGCCTGCCCCGAGTCGGCAGGGCTGTATGTGGCATCGGCTGTCTCCCAGCCTGGAGTTAGAGTCAGGGCAGCGTGGTCAGGACCCTGCTGGGACCGTGGGGTCTGCTCTCTGAAGCTAGGACGTGACCTGTCCCCAGGCGGCAGGCCCCACCTGCAGCAGCAGGAGATTCTAGGCTCTGCTGCCTGTTCTGCCTACATGGGCCCTGGTCAGAGGTCCAGAACACAGGACAGGACCACAGCTCAGAGGTATCAAGCAATGCCACCCAGTGTGTGGCTCCCTGCTTTGCATCCCATGTTCCCCTAGGACCAGCAGGGGTGAATGGTGCCCAGAGCTGGGAGCCAGACGCGTAGCCTTGAGATCTGGGCTCCCACCGCCCACGGGCCCGCCCTCAGGCTCCCACAGCCCCCTCCCTCCCTCCCAAGAGCCCTGGGCAGGACCATCCCGGATGCCACGTCACACCAGTCACCATGGCAACCACTGCACTCCAAGGCACCACCACACACTGGGCTTCCTAATTAAGCCTGTCCTTGGCCAGCTGCAGGCCAAGCGGCCAGTGGTCTTGCTGCCGAGGCCCTTCCAGGTGACTGCGGCCGGGAGAGGGACCCGGGCAGTCCTGGTGCCACATGCCCTGCTGCTCCCAGCACAGCTGGTCCAGGGACTGCCTCTCTCCACCCCTGCCCTCCCATCCCCTCCCCAGCCTGGCTGCTCGCACTTTGCTCGGGCCATCTAAAGTGGCCGTGGTGACAAAGGAAGCCACTGGAGAGGCGCCAGGCGGGGTCCAGGGTCACTGTGCCCCTCCCACCAGCACACGGTCGGGGGACCCCGTGGAACCAGGCTCCTGGGGCCTCAGTGGCTGATTTCTCAGAAGTAGGTCACCAGGCCTTTCCACAGAGGCAGCCCTGGGTTGATGGGAACCCCCAGCCTTTGGGTGAACGGACAACCGTGGGAACTGTTCGCACCCCCCCAGGACAGACGCCCTCCCGCTGGCCCCCTCTGCCCACCCGCCAGAGATGGTGCCCAGACCTGCTCCGCCGCAGGTTTCGCATCCGCTGCACGTACAGCCACAGCTCCAGGCCCACAGGCAGCAGCAGCGGGTGGGGCCGGGGAGCGCCATAGACCACCTTGCACATGGCCTTCTCCCCCAGGCTCAGGGCCGAAGGCTGGGCCTCCGCCGGCATCATGGCTCCAGGCCGGCCCTGGCCGGCCAGCCCCCACTCGCCACGCCGCGGTCCTGCAGGCCGAGCCAGCATCCCTCCCACCCAGGGCCGGTAGGCCCACAGCTCGGTGGGGTGGCCTCAGCAGCGGGAGACACTGGGCCTCCCGGCAGGTTTCTGGAGCCCGACAGGGACCAAGGGATCGGGGGCGGCTCAGTCTGGATGAGCGCGTCAGCACGTCAGGTAATCCCTCTGGGGGGTGGGGCAGGGCGGGACCCTGTCACTGAGCTGGGCAGGGAGGTGCCAATCAGCATTTATGAGAAGGGGACTGACCCTGAGGTGTGGCTGGCCGCCACCAGGGCCCCGCCTCCCACCCCACCCCATCAGAGGACCCACTGCAGGGACAGGTAACACCACCAGGACACCCTGTCCCCGGGCCGTGGGGTGTGAGCAGAGGGCAGGAGCCAAGCACACGCAGGAAGGATGCAGAGGCCGGGGTGCAGGTGGTACCCCCTTCCCCCACCAGCATATAGGACCCTCAGTTTCAGCCCCGAGCCCTGCTCTGTGCCACTGACACTACAGGGCAATGCCCTTTCTGGGGGTCTTTGGGTGCTTGATGGAGGGTCTGGGTCCCAGGGACTCAGGTCCCAGGCATTCTCCTCCCTGACCAGGCTGGTGCAGAAGGCTCTCCACCTAGGGGGTCCGGCAGGGCCAGGACCACCTCCTTGCCCAGCCTCAATTAGCAGGGAGAGCCCTAAATCTTGACACTGGGCTCTCTGGGACAGAGGGGCTGCCTAGCTGGGCCACTTCTTTCCTCTAGAACCTCCCTCCCACCCATACCCCTTCCATAGCAGTGGACCCCTTCCAAAGCAGCGGGCCCCGGACAGGATCCACACCTATCTCCCCAGGGCTGCCCAGCACCCACCCTCCAGGTACAGGGGCCCAGCCCTCTGGGCCATGGTCTCAGCACCCCCACCCGCCACACCAACCCCAGCCTGGGAGGGCCATCTTCCTACTGGTTAACAGCTGCCCTCCACCTCCTCAAACCAGAGACCCCTCCCATACAGGCCCATGGGTGGGGCTTGGTTCAAGGTCACGCCAGCCCACATCGCGGTCCTCTTCAACTCCAGAAAGCCTTGGGCCTCTCCCCTTTAAGAAGCCACGGAGTCCCTCCCCAAGGCCAAACCACAGTGCCCAGGAGCCAACCGCTGCCAGCCAAGCCCCACCGCCCTGGTTAATAAGTCGGCCATTGACTCCCAGAGCCAGCCCCATCGTGGCCACCTCGACCGCCACCCCTTGTCTGGTCTGGGTGCCGAGGCGACGTCCCATGTGAGTGGTTAGTGCCGGCTCCACATACCCCACCACCCTGCTGACCACCCCAGTCTTCCAAGTGACCGCACCCCATCTGTCCCCAGGCTCGGTGCCGTCCTCTGCTGCCCCTACCAAGGTCCTTCCCAGCCCAGGCCCCCAGCCCACCCCATCTCTTCCAGGGCTGTCAGTCTTGGCCCAAGCCCCCAGCCCACCCCCCATCTCTCCAGGACTGTCACTCCTGGCCCAGGCCCCCAGCCCACCCCATCTCTTCCAGGGCTGTCAGTCTTGGCCCAAGCCCCCAGCCCACCCCCCATCTCTCCAGGACTGTCACTCCTGGCCCAGGCCCCCAGCCCACCCGTCACTGGGCTGTCACTCCACTCTCTCCCACATCCAGTCCCACTGACCCTCAGCAACACCTTTGATCAAAGGCTCCCCTTTTATGGCCAGAGCGCATGTCACGGGGCAGGGGTTGTGGGGGCACGGTGTCACCCAGCTTTAGGAAAGTGCTTGAGTCAAGCCCCAGGGGCCCTGCAGTCAGGCTGCTCCCAGGGGCCTGCAGAGGTGGTACCTGGGGAGATGCAGGACAGGATCAAGGGGGACAGAGTGGAGGTGGACAGGTGGCCCAAGAATGGCCCTGTCTAGGTGTCAATGGCTGTGGCTTGAGGGCAGACCTGTCACGGGTCAATTCCATGGAGTGACTAACACCACATGTATCCTCAGACTGCTGGGCAGGAAGTCTGCACACACACACAAACACACACACACGTACAGACATGCATGTGCACATTTACCCCCCCAGACACACATAAAACACACACGCTCACACAAGCACCCCTCGCCCAGCCTGCTTGCTCGTGTCAACCACCAGACAACTAACAGCTGGTTACTCAACAAAGCACTCTCTCTGGGCAGGCACCTCCACCCCCTGGGGAAGATCACAGAGGGGCCCCTTGGGCAGGCCTCCCGCACACCTGGCTGCAATCTTCCCCCCGAAACATGGAGCCCACGAGCCTGGCTGGGGGCTGTTCCCTGAACCCACCCAACAGGGCTGACCAACAGCACAGGCCAGCAAAGGGGGTGCAGCAAGGCGTCCCTCCACCCAACCAGCTTTCTCAGGCCTCATGCCACCTGTCGGGGCCCAGCGGAGGTTTGAGGGTCAGTGGCCTGGGTGCCCAGCCTAGGAGGCCTCAGGTTTGGAGGATACCCAGAGGGCTGGGATGACAGTGCTCCCAGCGTGCCAGGCGCACTATGGGGAAGCTGCCGCCAACATGGACTCACAGCCCAGCACTCAAGCCTGCCGTGGGCGCTCGTGTGCCCCCAATGGGCAGAGCCCAGTCCCCCTGGGGACTGCTGCTAGCCTGGACAGCATTCCCCGGAACACCCTAGGAAGGTCCTGGAATCTCCACCCAGGCACACAGCCCATCCTTGGTGTAAGGGATGCAGAGTCCGGCCCCCTGGGGTCACCTGTGCATCTGCCATGAGGTGGGTGTGGCTCAGGCAGGCACACACCCACGGGGTGAGGCAGGTTCCGCAGGTCCGAGGGGCGCAGGGTCCCACCTGCAGCAGCAGGATCTCTGGTCACTGCCGCCCTGAGGGCTCTAAGGTGGCTGGAGGCGGTCTAGGGCTTGGGAAGGACGCTCTGGGCGGCGCGCACACGCCTGCTGTGCCCGGGGCCGGCTGCCCATCTGCCCCACCCCAACGGGGGTCGCACGGGAGGCGACACCACCCACCCAGCCCTGCTGCCGCG